TGTGTGTGTGCGTGTGTGTGTGCGTGTGTGTGTGAATATTTTGTCCTTTGGATTTGTAAGGAGTTATTGCGATTGACAATTCTAAAAGTATACTCTTCAGCTTTTTAAGTTGAAGACGACGATATTAATGTTTGGATCTCTCATCTATAGAATAGATCTAACATGAATTTGAAAAAAGAAAACAAATTGAGGTGTGTAATTCCAAAACGCAGACTTTATTATTGTCTTGGCCGGGTTGTGTTTCGGTTCTGTGTGAAAACAGATCCAGGCTTGCCACTCACTCCCAAGAGCAGCAATTGTTCTCTTTAGTTTTATTCTTGAAGGGGATGACATTTGACACTCTTTTACAGACAAACAATATTGTCATAGTTGTACGCACTAGACGAGGGATGTCCTAAAATCAAGGTGAAAAGATCATACCTCAAAAACTAATGTATCGCATTTCAGTTTGTAAACGATGCACGCAGTAGCTGGTGCAAGGCATTATCTCTTTCCAAAACCACAGCATCATCCAGGGAAGCACTAACGAAGGGTAGTTTAAGGAAGATGGCTAAAAAGTTGTCAAAAGCAAAGATGTTTGAACACAAAAGGGAGAAATCCAGCTAAACTAATCTTTAATTACTTTGTTTCTGTATACGGTAAAGATGTTAAGGGCAAAATCACGTCTATCAGTGATGTAATATATCCGAGGTAGTGAGTTCAAATCTTGAAGTTGATCTAGGCCGTGGAAGCCCTCAGTCTTCTGTGACATATTGCAGGTGTTGATGTTATGATCTTGAGGACATGCTGCTGAAAATTTGTGGTTTTGCCGACGAACTTGACATCACGAAGACTATCATTATTCATAGAATAGTGCATGAGGAGCTTAGATACCCCTAAAATTCGGTTTGCCTGGCGCCAAATAACTGATTGAAGATCACAAGGTGCAACGTATGGAGATCTTTGGAATGGTATGAGGAAGGCACTGGTGACCAGTTTGGTTGTGGTGGAGGCAACATGAGAGCTGATGATGATGTCGCACGAACAGTTGTCGATTTTCTTGACAATCCGGAAGCAGTAGACAAAACATGGGTGCATCACACAATCCGTGAGGCGAAGAGGGATTCTATGACCCTGAAACACACATCGTCACAGACGCCCAAAAGGTTCAAGGTTCAGCACTTTTCAAAGAAAGTAATGCCAACCGTTTTCTTGGATGTAAGAGGTGTTTTGCTTTAGGCATGCTACCCCCTAGTCATACTGTTAATGCTGCCAGGAATTGTGAAATACTGAACAGGTTAAGAGAAGCGCTGCATCGAAAAAGACCGGATCACTTGATGAAGGGCATCAACTTACTGCATGACAATGCCACACAGCATACAGCGAAACTGACAAAGGTCTTGCTTCAGAGATACAATTGAGAGGTTCTGCTACACTCACCACACAGTGCGGACCTTGCTCTTTCATCACCTGCTTGGACCCTTTAAACGACACCTGTACGGACAAAGCTTCACAAAGGATGAGAATCTCATTGAAGAAGTAGGGAATTGGTTGCAATCTCTTGACGAGAAAATTCCTTAATGGAGGGTATGTATTCCTCTGTGCACCATTGGCAGAAAAGTCATTGATCTTCACTACGATAACCTTGGGAAATAGTTAAATTGTGCGAGTACGTTTTGTTAAGATGTCATTGTGAACAAGTTTGTATACATTTGTGGCCATTCTCTATCAATTTCTGGACAGCCCTCGCACTGTCTGGAAATTGATTGGTT